CATTAATGGCCAATACCAACAATCATACTTGATGACTTGTAATTTGGATGGTTAATAGATGACATAATAATTTCTAAAATCCTTTTACAAATATTTATCAGGAGAATTTGGCCAGTCATTGTAAAATAGGAAAGGTTCAAATATAGAAAAAGTCTAGACAAGGCAGCGTGCCAACCCTAGTTTCAATCAATGGCAAAAGGTTGGTGAGAAACGACTACTCTTTTACGCTTTCTTCGTGTATGTTTCATGTGTTTAAGTAGACAGGATCAACCCACTCTTGCCACTAGGCACCAGCCTCTTTATTTGATGAAATAAAGGCCCACTGGTTCTTGGTATTTTTCTCTACTTATATCCCACTTGGAGTAATGGTAATGGACCATTTTAATCATTGTATCGACCAAGTTTTAATTAAATGTACTATTACTAAAGGAAGCATATGAGATCGACTTAATGAATTGGAAGGAACAAGGAAAACCCCGAATGTAACAAACAAACAAGAAGCTCCATTCCTAGAAAGCGAAGAAAAGTAAGAATTATCTTTCAAAAAAGAAAGAAAAAGAAAAGAGTCGAAATGAATACTCTGCATTTGTCTTTAAAACGTTGCTTAACGCGTCTTTAATACAGCCCATATACCCAGTCAAATCCCCCACTAGGACAATCGCGTAACTCTGGTCTTCCTCTTCTAACTTGACTTTTCCACCTTTGAGTTTTCTCAAGCCCAATCACGCCCCGCTTTTGTTTCTCATGTCTACGTGTTTCATTGCCCATATTATTTTTTTATTTTTTTTATTAAATTAACGTTTAATCTCATAGTATTATTTTAAATATTATTAATTGTTTAATTATGAACGTTTAATCTCATTTTATAATTGGTGTTTGAATCTGAAATTTTTAAAAATAACAATTACTCCATTAAGCCTCTCAAATATTTAAAGATTATAAATTAAAAATTCATATAGTTCTCACGTCTTTCCGTACAATTTTAAATGTTTTTGCTTGTTTTTAATCTCCTAACCCTTAATCCTCCTTTTCTTTTACATATTACAAAATGTGTACTCACATACTACTTGTCAAAACTCACGACTGTTTCGTCTATTGGCGGCTGAAACATTGAGGTGCACCCACGTGTTTTGACCTTTGGATACTTTATACGATGGTTTATAATTATATTGTGTATCTTGAATTTTTGTTCAACCTTTTCATTTTCTTACAAATTTTATTTTTTTATTAAATTAAATTATTTGAGTTTTTATTTTATTAATAAATTTTATATGTGAACGTTTATTAATTGGAATTATATGTATTAAATATGATTTTAATATATTTTATTATTAACATTTTAATGTTCATTAAAATTAGAGTTCTATATATTAAGACTATCATTTATATCTATAAATATAAAGATTAAAAAATCTTCGTACTTACTTAATATTAAGAAAATAATACATATTTTTCTCCCTTTTGTTTTCTCGTTCTTCTATCATACTTTTACTTTCTTTATTTCATAACATTAAATATACATAGCTTTTTTCACATTTATTGATAGATATATTGTTTTATTTTTTAAAAATTACTATAGTGTGAGATAAAAACAATTATTTAAAAATGTTAAATTATTTTTTGTTAGAATTATTTAAGAAATCAATTTAAGTTATTAATAATTTATTTTTTAGAATTTCAATTTGATTAATTAAAAATTATAAAATTTTGATATTAAATTTAATGATATAATTTGATAAAATAAAATGTTTATAATTTATATTAAAGGAAGTGTTTTTAAGGTTAAAGTTGGTGTTAAGTATAATGGTTCACGATGCAAATTGATAAACTTTTTTGTATAACAAAGCTTCGTTTACTTTTGATAAAAAATAATGTGGATTTGTATTATTTTTTTAAATATGATTCTCTAATTAAGAAAATAAATTTAATGTGATATTTTGATCAATATTATCCATTATTGACTATTACCGTACTGATGTAGCAGTTCACGACGCTAAGTCTATAATGACTAATGACATGATAGATTGACTAAATTGATTTTTTTATTTTGTTCGATGATCAAATTATTGTTTAAAGTTCAATTGATATTTAAATTGTTTCAAAATTATTTTCAAAAATAAATTATTCAAATATTAAAAAAAATAAAAAATTAAATTAATAAAAATAGAATATACGTATTTTTTAAAATATATCATAGGTTATAAAAAGATTATAAAACTATTATAAAATGATAAAAATATATTAACATAATATACACATCTAATATTAGACATATCATCAACAATTATACAGAGTATTCTTACTGGATTAAATTTGACTTACAAAATTTAAATTTGTTGAGACTTATGAATTTTAAATTAATTGAAACTTATTATATAATTATCTTTTGAATTAGTCAAGACTTATAAAAAGATAATTAGAAAACATAATAAGTTTCAACTAATCCAAAAATTATAAATCTCAACTAATTTAAATTTTTTAATTTTTGATTAATTCAATAAAAAATACATTGTATACATGTTAAGATATGCCTATATGTTACATGTATATGTCATATATAATACTTCTTTCTAAAATATTTTTTATTTTTATTTTTAAATAATTTATAAGTAATTATTTTATAACCTATATATATTAAATTTTTTTAAAATTTGATAATAGTTTTAATATTTTTAATATGTATATTTAATTTTTTAATAATTTATTTTTTATTTTTAGTACATTTATAATTAATTTTTTAAATATTTAAATAATTTTATATTTATAATATAAAATAATTTTAAACTTTTGATAAAATTAAATAAGCCTTAGAAATTCAAAAAAGTAAATTTGACCCTAGAACAAAATAAAAATAAAATAAAATTATAACATCTACCTTACCTCGGCAAACCGCCCAAGATTTTCAAAGATAGAAATCCATATCTCCCATTTTCGTATACAGACCTTTCCAATTTTGGAAGTATTTTTTCACCCAGATACGATGCAGATTGTCAGAGAAAAAGGGGAAAAATCAAGAAAGTGAAAGCTCAAGAAGTACGAAGAAACTTCGCCAATTTGTGAACAAGAATTGGCCAAAAGTAACAAAGCTGCACCAACTTGCTTTGCATGATCTGATTAGCCAAAAATAATATCTTGATTAATGTAATACAGATTAAAAAGCGTATGTTTCTTTCACCGAGGATGACAACAATAATGCAATGATAAAGATATGTCAGCATGTTTTACACAACAGCTGATGATAACCATTTAACCTATTGCCGGATTGGGGTTTGCATGGCAAGGGACATAAATTATACCGACCCATGTGAGTGGCAGGTACCGACCCTATACTTTCTCTCTCTACAATAGAAGATGCAGAACCATGAAATCCATATGTTTTCCCTTCGCAATCGTTTCTGCAACCATATCAAATTCCAATAATCTCAGCCGGCCACTAACACCTAACTCCCTTTCAATTCAAAACCCCAATCTTACTCTAAAAAAAATCCAACGTTCGGTCATTACTCTACGATCTTAGTCTTTTTCGGAACCACGTTTCATAAGGTTTGGGGTGAATGGGTTTGTGTTTCTTTGAGGCTTTGGTTATGAGGAAAGAGGTGAAGAAGGAACAAACATTTGGGAATTTAGGGTTAGGGTTTAAGGGGGTTTTGCAAAGAAGAGCCTGCAACCCATTTGGGGAAATTTTTTCAAACTCTAGTTACATATTAAAGAAAATACATTAAAATAAAAAGTAGTTTAAACTTTGAGTTATTAAAATATTAATAAAATAAATAAAATAAATTTGAGTTATTAATAGATGCCATGTCATAAAAAATTAATAAAATAAATTTAAGTTATTAAAATAAGAGTAATTCTATAATTTAATAATTAAATTAAAAAATATTTAAACTTTAATGACTAAAATAAGAGTTAAAAGATAGTTGAGTGATAAATAGTGTAAATTACTTAAAAAAATTAAAAAAAAATATATTTTTAATGTGCCACATGTCATGGTTATAGGGTTCCACGTCACTTTCCGTGACGGAAGTGGGTGAATCCGTTAACGACAGAAAACATTATGTAGTTAATCGAGAATTTTTAAACTTTATGTATGAAATTGAGAATCAGATATAGTTCATGTATGAATGAGGTAATTAACCCTAAAAAACAATTTGGCCTATCTATCATGTCATTCACAACGTAATCAACCACCGAGATTGCCACATTAATATCATGGATTACCATGTTAGCACCGTAACGATCAACTTCAGAAAACGTTGGTCAAATGATCACATTAAGTTTATTTTTTGAATTAGAGATTCACATTGAGAGAAAAAATAATCAAGGATCACATTATATTTTTAAAATACATCAACCTTAGATGCTTTCTAAAAAAAAGGAAAAATTGATCTTTCCTCACATAACTTTATTCTCTCTCCTATTGTTTTTAATGTACTTTCAATTTTTCTACTTATTGAACTTTCGAATTGTTCCTGTTTTGATCACTCTAAATTATTTTATTATAACATAGTATTTTTTATTATTTAATAAAAAATAATTTTATTAATATTTCGAAGGTTGATGGTGGACGATGATTATTTTAAGTCTTTTTAAATTTAGTAATAATAAAATACTATTTTATCATTTATTTTAAATTATTTATATATTAAATAATGATAAAAGAACACATCATATAAAAATAATAAAATAATCCAGAGTATCAAAATATGAGTAATTCAAAAGTTTAGTGAATAAATTAAAAAAATTAGAAGTACAATGAGTAAAAGAAGAGAGAGATTAACGTTCAGTGATGAAAATTGTAATTTACCTAAATACAAATGGAGATGAAAATTTCCAAAATGCCCCACTTGTGTACTTCCTTTTAAAGAACTTTCTTGTCTGCTTCCATCGTACATTTCCTCCTATTTATATGCTTTGGTAAGCTTAAAGAATTACCAGCCAAAGCCACAACTGATTCTTTTTCAGCATTTGTAGAGGAAAATCTGTACTTTTCGGAGTTTTCTTTTGTTTTTGTTGAAGTTCATAGCCTAAAAGCTCATATAAGAAAAAAAAAATAGAGAAAGAGAACCGAATGGAGAGAGGAAACTATGTTGTTACATTTTTAAGAGTCTTGCTGGTGTGATGGCGGCCGTGGAAACGAAAGCGCTTAACGGGGTTAAACTGAAGAAGAAGGAGCACCGGAACGCCTATGCGACAATGATGTACATGGGGACGCCGAGAGATTACGAATTCTACGTTGCCACACGTGTCTTGATCAAATCCCTTGTTAAGCTCCAAGTAGACGCCGATCTCGTCGTCATTGCCTCCCTCGACGTTCCCCTCCGGTGGGTTCGTGCCTTGTAAGAATCCGATAACACTTTCTTCTTCTTCTTCTTTTTATTTCATTTAAATGCTTTTTCCCATTAAATAAATCTTATACGCAAGGTTTCATAATGGAGATTGGTTAGCGAAGCACAAGCACTAGAAATGAAAACCCTTTGATTCGATGAAACTCTGTTTCTGGTCCAAATTGTAACGTCCATAATTTCTACATTAATTACCTTAAAAACAATTAATTAATACAGAGGGGAAAACAAAAGGGTATGTTGGTAAGCAGAAAAAAATATCTATGCCCTATTAATATATTATCTTTTACAATTAAATATAAGTAACTTTATATTAGAAAAAAAACGAGATGTTAAATGAGGAAGAAGTTAAAATAGATATTATTTCGTTATTGTATTGTTTCCTTAGAATAGTGATAAAGTGTGACGTTACTTGCTCAACTACGTGTTAAACCACTTGTAGAAAACAGTGTTGGCTCGCTTTTGCAGGGTCAACTACCGGTAAGAGTTAAGCATAGATTAGTATATATATTTATATAAAAGAACCTGTTTAGATAAATTTCCCCGCATAAACGCACCGCCCATTATAATATTATTTGAGGGTGGACGCATTAGGCCTAATTTTATTTCTAGTGGATCCACGATATTATACCATTTAAATCACCATGACCCCACACGCACTTTCAACCAGCACAAGACATGGTCTCGGGTATTGTATTGGTCAAGCAAACAGCATGTGAGAGTTGCTTGTCATGCAAAACCCCTTTAAGAACATGTCCTTTAATTTGATACTTTCGAAAACATGATGTTCAAAGACTATAATATTCCTTATTTTATTGAAATGGAGATTATTTTGACATGTCGTGTTTTGTGTGACACAGGGAAGAGGAAGATGGAGCAAAGGTGGTGAGGGTGGAGAACATTAATCCTTACACAGGTCAACAAAAGAGATTTAAGTTGACACTGAATAAACTATATGCTTGGAGTTTGGTGGACTATGAGAGAGTTGTCATGCTGGACGCCGACAATCTTTTTCTGCAGAAAACCGATGTATTGTTCCAATGTGGGCAGTTTTGTGCCGTCTTCATCAACCCCTGCATCTTTCATACCGGCCTCTTTGTGTTGCAGCCATCACAAGAGGTATTCAAAGACATGATTCATTCACTGGAAACTGGTAAAGAAAACCCTGACGGTGCGGACCAGGGATTCATTGGTGCTTACTTCCCCGATTTGCTCGACCAGCCAATTTTTCACCCACCTTTAAATGGCTCCAACCTCGATGGACAATACAGACTTCCTCTGGGATACCAAATGGATGCTTCTTATTACTGTGAGTAAATCAGTGGTGATATTTATAATCTTGTAATGAATTGAGCTGCAAATCTAACCACAAGCTATGTTTTGTTTCTTCTGCTGGCCAACAGATCTTAGACTTCGGTGGAGAGTACCCTGTGGACCAAACAGTGTGATCACTTTCCCTGGTGCACTTTGGTTGAAGCCATGGTATTGGTGGTCGTGGCCTGTCTTGCCTTTGGGCATTGAGTGGCATGAAACTCGTCGTCAAACTGTAGGCTACGCGGCTGAGATGCCGGTTGTAATAATCCAATCGATTATCTTCCTCGGAATAATAGTGATGACACATGTAGCACGTCCCGCTATCTCTAAACTATACTACAAAAACTCAGACAAAACCACATCCATGATGCAAACTGCCATAAAGTTCATAGAAATCTGGTCAATTCTCGCGGCATATGTAGTTCCCTTCGCCATTATTCCTCGCACAATCCATCCACTAGTAGGCTGGGGACTGTATTTCCTCGGTTCCATCGCTCTTTCATCTGTAGCAATCAACTCGTTCATGCTGCCTGCCATTCAAGTTTTTGTTCCATTGATTGGGATTTTCGGCTCTCTTCTGGTCATGGCATATCCTTGGTACAATAATGGAGTTGTGAGAGCTTTAGCTGTTTTCGGCTATGCGTTTTGTTATGCTCCTGTTGCTTGGGGTTCAGTAGTTAAGTTGTTGGCACGTCTTCATGTCTCGGTTGAAAGGGAACAGTTCTTCCCCAAATTGACTGAATCTTCACCACCTTCCGGCGTCAACAAGTTGTGCTGAAACTTGATATGCAGTGCAATGGAACGACTTTTAACTAGATTGTTTTTGTTAATATAATGTTGTCATTTAATTCATTTCTTCGTCACTGTACAATCCATGTATTGAGCCTTTTTTTTTTAATACTGAAGGAAACATGCTTGACTTATGAAAGCTTGATCACTTTCCACAAAGCTAGCCACCTCTGTCGGAGGTTCCTGATGCAACAAAACACCGATCGGACAGTCCTTTGCCATGGTAGCAAACTTGTCTACAAATTAGCCTTCCGACATATATGCCTTGTTCTGAAATTTCAATCTCTGTCAATTATCTCTCGGAACAGCATGATAATCCCATTATCCTTCATTGCTTGCCTAGCTCCATCAACCATATCCACAGCCATTGCACAGTTTGATTCCACCTCTATTCTCCTAAATCCAAAGTTCCAATCAAGCAGCAAAGCATCGTGAATAGCCCACAGCTCCGCATTCAAGGCAGAGCAAACACCGAAACTCCGAGAGAAATCAACAATCCATTCTCCATCTGAATCTCTTATAACCCCCAGCAGCAGCCATTTTTAACGGTCCTTCCATGGCACCGTAGGTATTAATTTTAACTTAATCCATAGCTGGTCCCTTCCACCTTACTTGTTGCCTCAACAATCTCCTACAACCTTATTCAGTCTCAGCAGCGGTAATAATTTCATTTTTTAGATGAAAACTTTGAATAAATAAGTCCTCCTATCAACAAAGTTGGGCTGAAGCAGGGTACATCTTATTTTTCAAATATTCCAACAAACAATGGCAAAAAGAACTACCGAATGTCTCTCATTCATCGGATAATTCCCTTTTCCTGTCACATTAGTGATAAACCATTCCTGAAACAGCATTGTGATAAACTCTATTTTTCGCAACAATCAAACGACGCCAAATCTTGAAGGCAAACGTGCATCAATGGAGTGCATGGCTCACATCTTCAACTTCACTTTGACACATTTGACATCTAGCAGAGGATGTTACATGCCGACGATAGCTCTCCTTATTAGTTAACAGTCTTCCATAAGGGAAAGCTTTAATTCTTTGAGGGATCTTAATCTGCCAAAACTCTTTCCACCTTTTATCATCACCATTTTGTATTGGTAGCGACAAAGCTTTGTAGGCTGACTTAACCGAAAAATTATGATTAGGACCCACCATCAACAAGGAGCATCTTCACCGAGAGAATTATTTGGAGGACATGTAGCCGTATTTCGATTTGCAAACGTGTGCTAGGACAATTCCATTTAAACACTGTTGGTCCCAATTAGCGATTCTGTGCTAGTAATCATACGGTTAGGTTAATTTTTCCAAACAAAGCATGGAACTAGAAAACATAAGGTTAGGATTTATACCTTGATAGATAGGATATTCTCTTTCCATTAAATGGTGCTAACCAATTTATTTTTTCCTTTCTCTTTTTTATTTTTATTTTTCATACATTTTGTTTTGCTTTAATTTGTTTATATTGATTTCTTTTGTTTGCATTGCATGATCATGACATAACCAAAAGGTGTTAACTGGAAAGACTGTTCATCAAATTGGAAAGAAATCATAAATGGACAAAAAGTTTTATGATCAAACAAAATATGACGCAACCATGGAATGGCATCCTGAGGGAACTCTGAGGATAGAGGAGAGCTATGCACCCAAAGATCGTATGCCCATTGAAGGGCAAAAGGAGATACGAGAAATAAGAGAGCAGATGTCCAAGATGATGGGTAGAATATCTGTTTTGGCCAAAGGAAAAGAGACCCCTACACAAAAAGAGAGAGAGGTCAATGAACATAACCCTGCAATCTCATATATACAAGGAACTTCTGATCCTAATCAATTTGAGAAATTACAGTCAATCATCATTCGTATTCACAAATTATCTGGAGATACCCAGGAAGTGGTGACAACTGTAAAAGCTCCCAGAGATGAGAAGAAATCATGTAATCTAAAACGAAGTTTAGTCTACTCCCGACGTCTAAAACTCAGGTTCAATCCAAGACAAAAGGCGGTTCTCATTTTGATGCTATCCCGATATCATATAAAGAGTTGTATGAGAAGCTACTTGAAGTACGAGAAATGGTTCCGTACTACATAAAACCGTTCTAACCTCCCGTATCCGAATTGGTATGACATCAATGTTTATTGTGGATATCATGTCGGAGCTCAAGGACATACCATCGAGAATTGTCTTGCCTTCAAACGTCGAGTCCAAAGTCTTTTGGATCATGGAACCTTACAATTTATAATAAATGAGTGACCTAATGTGGTAACTGAAAGTCCTGCTAGATTAATACCAAAAGTCTTCAAAGGTAAGAGTATCAGTAGGGGCGCCCAGAAAGAAGAAGAATTCCTTAGGTCTGAGGTCAAATACGTCATTTAAAGATTGAAAATGATAAATTGAGCACCAAAATGGAAACCATGCATGAAGATTTCCAGAAGATCAGTCAAACCTTTCAAAATGCTGGCATAGGAAACACCCCAAAGAGTGGATAACAGGGGTCATCAAACTGAAAAAGAACTGCAACATATATGAAGATATTGTCCAAGAAATTTTTGAACACAAAGGTTCCCTTACAAGGGAAAATGAGCAATTCCGAGAATTGACACAGGAGATGAAGGAACACCAGAATGTCATGGAAGAAGCTGCAGTCCAGACAAGCAATATGGCCCATAAGCTGATAGACTAACTTGGCTTTAGAGAATAAAATGGGAAAGTTATCCCCTATATGTAAAGTTTTATTGAAGTTAGGACTAAAAAGATGTCCCCTACATGTAAAAGTTTTGTTTGATGCACGAAAAGTTTTGTGTTCAATGAAATCTGTTCTAAGATGATCACTCTTGAGTAACACCTTTTCATGCATGCATTTGCATTTCACATTTTTGCATTTTCATTTTTGTATTCATACTTTTGTGTTTGTTTTTGCATTTCAAGTTTGCATTTTTATTTTTGCATTTATGCATTTTCACATTTACATTACATTTTTTATTTTAAGTATTGTTATATACATTAATTATAAAAACATATAAATAATTCTTGAAAGGTTTTGTAACAGTAAAACCAAGATCATTCATTCATTTTACTTTACCATCATCATGAAAATAATGGAACAATCTTATGAGGGACTACAAGATCAGTGGTCAGAACAATTGACAGGGTTACCTCAGGATTCAAGAAAAGAAGTACCAGATGGATCAAATCAAATTTTCCAGGGGATGCCATCTGATAAAGAAGAGATAACGGATAAAGAGCAACCATGCTGTCAATTGAAGAGTCGAGAATGATAACATACCCTGGGACATCCCAATCGAACCCAAAGAATAGCCTCGTTAATTATTCACAATATGAGGAAAGATTCAAGAAGGCAAATGAAGCAATCAGAAATATGAAAGGTGTTAATACTTCCCACAAAGAATAGAAGCACGAGAGCTCAGCATGGTTCCAGATTTGGTTATTCCCCATGAATTCAAAATGCCTGATTTTGAGAAATATGAGGGCACCAGTTGTCCCCTAATCCACCTGAGAATGTTTTGCAGAAAAATGGAAGGATATTTAAGTTCTGATGATCTGTTAATTCACTCTTTCCATGATAGCCTCATTGGCCCAACAGTAGTATGGTACAATCATTTGACCCAAGAACAGATCAAGAGATGGGTTGATATAGTTGATGCTTTTTTGGGACAATATCGATGTGCTAAAGGCTTAGCTCCAACACGTATGGATCTTCAAAGAGTAAGGAAGAAAGCCAATGAAAGATTTCAAGAGTATGCCTTAATATGGAGAGGAGTGGCAGCACAAGTTCAACCTCCCATGTTAGAAGAAGAGATATCACATATGTTTCGGGATTCTATTCCTGCTCCTTTCTTTCAGTTAATGTCAGCAAATCCTACGAATGGATTCGAGAATCTTGTGACAAGTGGAGAATTAATTGAACATGTAATCAACGAAAAAAACTCAAAAGTCACATCCAAGATCCCGACGGATCAAAAAGCGAAAGCTGATGATGTGAATGAATGTCATATCCAAAGTCCCAGCAATTGCAAAAGAAAATGAGCAAATAGTTGTTCGGATCGACCAAAGAAAGTCATGCGATAAAGAAAAACTTTGGAAGTGTTCTAAACTTCCATTTCAGACTTGTACCCTCATTTGGTTAAAGGTCGATACATCACACCAAGACCAACGAAAGTGCCACCAAACCCTTCTACCCATTGCTATGATCAAAATAGCTTCTGTAATTTTCACTTGGGGGTGAAGGGGCATTCAACAGGGAGTTGTTGACCACTGTTAAAAGAAATAGAGGCGTTTGCTGACAAGGGAGTCTTGACACAAGAAATGATCAAGAAATGGGGGGCAAATAAAGATGAAAATCCAGGGCCAAGTACACACTCAACATTCAAGCAATGATAAGGCATGATAGACAAAACAAGTGAAGTTGTTATCTACTACTGTAGTACTTTCTACTTTATACTTTCAACATCTTGTTTGAACATGTTTTTGTTCCTTTCTCTGTCTTTTGTGCAACAAATAAATTTGTGTTGGTTTTATAGTTATGAGCAAGGAATTAAATTTTAATCTTGCAATTTTTGAGTATCAAGTAAATTAAATATTATTTTTCAAGAATTCTAGATCTTTGGCAAGTGGTAAAATTATACCTTTCATATCCCATCCAATGCGAATTACTTGACCCTCACCAAAATCAAATCTTGACCATATATTTATTTGAGATTCAAAAATAATGTCTCTACCTGGTTTTGAGACACCAAATCCAGATGATTACTTTCTCGGGTAGAGTTGATTGATTCATTACCTTCCACTATATACACAACTTTCAAAGTCACACCTTTGTCCTTACATATACAAAACCATCATTTTTGTACAGTTAAATAAAAAAGACCTCAAAAGAACCAAACTTTCAAATTATCCGTGAATCTTCTTGCAAGAAAAGACGAGATGAGGCATAATGGATCAATTTATCGAAGATAATTCTGAGTGATTAGGGCATACTAAAAGAAGAAGAAAAAAGATTGATTTACAAAAATATACCATGCATTAATTACATTGTTTTCAT